GCCTTCCCAGAAGGCCCCGAGGCGTTTGAGCAGGCGCTGCTTGAGGGGTGTGGCTTACCCAGAAGGCGGGGCTTCTTTTCGAGGGCAGAGGCCTCCCCAGAAGGCCCCGAGGCATTTGAGCGGCGCTTCTTCGGAGGCAGAAGCCCTCCGGAAGGCCCCGAGGCGTTTGAGCAGGCGCTGCTTTTAAGGGGGGTGGCCCACTGAAAAGGCGACGGGGCTTCTTCGGAGACAGAGGCCTTCCCAGAAGGCCCCGAGGCGTTTGAGCAGGCGCTGCTTGAGGGGCGTGGCTTACCCAGAAGGCGGGGCTTCTTTTCGAGGGCACGGGCCTCCCCAGAAGGCCCCGAGGCGTTTGAGCAGGCGCTGCTTGATGGGCGTGGCTTACCGAGAAGGCGGGGCTTCTTTTCGAGGGCAAAGGCCTCCCCAGAAGGCTCCAAGGAATTTGAGCGGGGCTTCTTCGGAGGCAGAGGCCTCCCCAGAAGGCTCCGAGGCGTTTGAGCAGGCGCTGCTTGAGGGGCGTGGCTTACCCAGAAGGCGGGGCTTCTTTTCGAGGGCAGAGGCCTCCCCAAAGGCCCCGAGGCGTTTGAGCGGCGCTTCTTCGGAGGCAGAGGCCTTCCGGAAGGCCCCGAGGCGTTTGAACAGGCGCTGTTTTTAAGGGGGGTGGCCTACTGAGAAGGCGACGGGGCTTCTTCGGATACAGAGGCCTTCCCAGAAGGCCCCGAGGCGTTTGAGCAGGCGCTGCTTGAGGGGCGTGGCTTACCGAGAAGGCGGGGCTTCTTTTCGAGGGCGCGGGCCTCCCCAGAAGGCCCCGAGGCGTTTGAGCAGGCGCTGCTTTTAAGGGGGTTCTATGGGGGTGGCATGGAGGGAGGGGAGAATGAGCGGGGAGAACAAGTGAGGGGGGGGGGGGGGGAATCAGCGGGGGAAGGGGAGAAACGTGCACCTCTCGTGCCCCTCCTGGGCCGCAGTGTTCTCATTTTCCTCACCTCCCCTCGCCTCTTTGTGACCGACAGTGGTTACGCAGCCAATTTGGCTTTGGGGCGCTCTCGCGCCTGAGGACTGAATGATAGTGCTATCTCACACACTTGGTTGAGAAAAGATGTTCCTTCTAGGCCTTTCGGCCCTTCCTGCCCCCGATGCCTGCAGACAATGGTAGCCGGAGCGTGGACGAGGCACTGGGTCAAGGGGGCGCCGCTGAGCCAGGTGCTGAGGGTGCTGCACGAAATCAGGAGGTTCCCGAGCGAGAGGGCGCCCATGTGATCGACCCATGGGAAAGGATCTCCACTCCTCAGAAGACAGACGGGGCCGCAGCCGGCCCTGAGTCAGATGAGGACGCTTGGAGAAACTGGGGGCGCGCAGGCTGGTCTGATTGGCATTGGTCTTCCTCCTGGAGCTGGTGGGGTTCCGGCTTGTGGGGAAAGGCACCTGGGGATGAAGTCAATCGAGACTATTTAGCGCCTCCGACGTGGCATGGGCTAGAGAATTTGGAGCTGCACTTGGCAAGTCTTAAGTCCTGGGACGGGCGGACCGCATTCAAGGCGGAGACCCGCGCCGGGCGAGTGATCGAGACGTTCCCCATCGAGCTTCAGGCGAGATTCAAGAGTATCAGGCACCTGACCGACGAGAGCGACGGCCTCAGTAAGGTCATTGACCATCTGAAGTTGCTCAATGGGGAGCGTCCAGGGGATAAAGAGCGTGAGGCCCACAATCAGGCACTATTTGACTACTCGATAAAGAAGGGAGAGTCCCTCACGGACTACGTGATCAGGAGAGATCAACAGATTGCGGCCGCAGAACGGCTGGGACTGACACTTCCTGACACGGTGAAGGCCAGGTACTACGAGGAAGGAGCTAACTTGAGCCCCCAGCTTCGACTCAACTTGAGGACCCTGATGGCTGGCAAAAGGACCGTGGAGGCTGTTCGTTCTGCCCTGCTGGAACTGGACATCACTGAGAGGCAGACGCTCCCGAAGCCACAGGCTCCAGCTCAGGCCAGGAGCTTCGCGACCACGGTACCGGTCCTCGACGAGGCAGGGGATTACGAGTGCGATGCATGTGACGACAGCGAGTGTTTCGGGCTCTACGAAATGGAGTTCGATGAGCAGGAGCTCGCCACCATCCTCGTTTCGCTGGACTCACAGGATCTTGACGAGGAGCACATCATCGAGGTGTTTGCTGAGGTGACGCTCCCTCAGCGTCGTCGTACGTGGGCAGAGTCTAGGCAGCTCAAGACGAACAGAAAAGTGGACAGGGATTTCTTTGACCGCAGCAAGGGAAAGGGAACGAAGAAGGTCACCAGAGACGATTTTAAAAGGAGGTCCCGCTGTTCGAACTGCGGGGAAAAAGGGCATTGGCGAGAAGACTGTCGACGACCATATCGGAGTAAGGCCGATAGGCTGAAGTCCGAGTCATCACGGCCGGCAGCGGTCAACAAGGGCCCGGACAAGAAGCCAGCGCAGAGCTCGTTCTACTTCAATTTGGACTACGACGCGACTCACTCCGGGACGAGCTGGGCAGCGATTTTGGATGAGTCGGGCCAGGTGGGCTCGCTCTCCGCTGCCGCCGCGACTGCGGGTCAGGTGGACCAGCAGGAGCACGACCTGGGTCAGGTGGATCTGGAGATGCTCGCGGCGGCGACGCTGCAGGACATGGACGAGTATGCGCTGGTAGACACCGCTGCTGGACAGGCTCTGATAGGCACACCAGACATCGACAAGTTGAGGGCTGCTTTCAAGAAAAAGGGTTTCGAGATACACTTTGTCGACACCGACAGAGTCCCCACGGCGAACGGAGTCGGAGGAAAAGTCAAGCCAGTCGGAGTTGCAGCAGTTCCAGTGTCGCTTCAACATTGTGGAGTAGTGGAGTTCCTGGTCCTCCCGCATCCTTGCCCTCCCTTGCTTCCGGCGAAGTTCCTCGATTTTCTGAGGGCAGTAATAGACCTGCGTCGTAATGTGATGACGATTGGAGAGGATGGAAGTCGACGTGATTTGGATCTGCTCAAGCTTCCTTCGGGGCATCGAGCAGTATCATTGATAGGATGCAAGCCGAGCGAGTTCGCCATCAGTGAGGATCTGGCCAGCAAATTTCCGCCTTTCGTCGTGAAGGCAGGTCGTGGTGATGTCTGGGCAGAGATCCCGATGACGCTCCAGGACTGCTGGGTTCAGGTTCCAGGTGCCGTTCGTCGAGTGCACGTGGGCCCTCGCCGTGAGGCTTTCAGTTTCCCCGAGGCTGAGCCGCCTCCTGTTCCAGTCTCGCAGTCAGGGCCGGGCCGTGTCACGTACCAGATGCTTGACAGTGAGTTTTCCGCTTGCAGCGTTGTCGAGAGCATCTGGGTCGACGGCCTCCCGAGCGAGACCCTGAGCTTCACGGGCCGCTGGATCGGGTACACCGAGTTCCCGATCGAGCGCTCGAATCAGGACTTAGGGGAAGGGCTGCAGCGGGGCACGTGCGGTAGATATCACTCTTTCCCTCTCTCTCTAGGCCTCGATTCAGAACAGCCGGGTACCAGGACCAGACAGTTTTCAGGTCTCGGGACTAGCCGGTCCTCCGTAGCACATCCCGGCTCAAGCAATGCCAGCAAGCAGCCAAACCAGCGAGACCGACCAGCGGTACCACTAGGACAGCACCAGAGCGATGCCATCCGAGAAGATCAGGATCATCAAGAGCCGGAGCGCCCGCTCGCTACGGAGCTTGAGGCACCAGGCGCTGAAGGCCCAGCGCGACGACTTCCAGCCCGACGAGGACCTGGAGGTCATTCCCGAAAACACGGAGGAGGACCCCGACTCGGAGCTCGAGATGAACTGGGACCAGACTCCAGATCCTTGGATAGACGGCATGCTGAGCTCAATCAACTACGAGGATGAGAGCATGACGGCAGTGGAGAAGGAGCTGTTCTTCGAGGGTGCCTTCCTGCTCAGTCCAGCTGCGCGCACCTGGAGGAGGTGGTCGATCAAGATGATGCTGTACCTCAGGGTGTGTGCGATTTCCCGTCTGTCGGCGATCGTAGCCCCTCGCATGTCCAAGGTGAAGAGCGAGGAGGAGGAAGCGAAAGCGAGCTGCTCCCATCCGATGGAGGCGAGGTGGAGCGGCGGAAACGGGTACGGGTACTACACGAAGTGCCGGATCTGCGACACCCGGCTCAGCTTCGTGAGGAAAACGAAGGAGGAGATCGAGGAGACCAAGCGCAAGGTGCTGGCCAAGCGCGAGTCCAAGACGAAGGTCGAGAAGGAGGAGTCGCCGGCGGAGATCAAGGTCGAGCCTCTGCCGAGGTACAAGGCTCCGTCGAGGTACGTCGAGTTCTGCGACGGGGTGCCGGTCAAGCCGCCACCGCCGACGGCGAAGAAGTCCTTGCCAGTCACGAAGCCGAGGGCGATCAGCAGCGCGGCAGGCAGCGCCGGCGCGGCGAGCAGCAGCAGCGGCAACCTCAGCAACATCGAGAAGGGCTTCGAGACGATGCAGTGGATGATGGTGGAGGACCGCAAGGAGCGCCAACAGCAGATGGACCTGCTGATCAGCGTGATGAAGGGGCTCGGAGCTCTGCGCCCGGTGGCCGCGCCTCAGGAGGACGAGGAGAGCTAGGCGCCACCCAGAGTGACGCATGCACGAAGGCAGATGCTTCCGGCTCTGTCGACCTCTCGGGACGGTCTGCTAGGCTTGAAGCCAAAAGTCCTGATGAAAAAGGAAGCCCTGCCCATGTCTCTCATTCCCGTCCTTCCTCCTCTGCCTCATCCCTTTTCTTTCTGAACAGGAAGATCCCGGCCCAGGCTGAGATCCTTGACGCCCTTCCCGACCCAGGATCTCACGGCAGCTGGATTGTCAAGAGCTTCAAAGCCGCGGCGAGAGACCTCGCCCGCCCGGTCAGAAAACGGGTTCCTCGTTTCGCGTCAGGGGTCTGGGATCTGGAGACAGGTAAGAGGGTCAGTCAAGATGAGGTCTCCTCGTTGCTCTCTTGGGTTCCCAGAAGTCTTTCGGACCAAGAAAAGGGAGTCTGGGCCGCGCAGCTGGCTATGGAGCGGTCAGGAGGCCGGAATTTCGGAGACCCGCTCGAAGGGGTTCGAAGGCTTCGGGTCCTCGACTCAGAGTCAGGGACGGTCGTGCTGGACGAGCTCTGCGTCTTGTTGTCCTTCACGGCTGTCGCCGAGGCCTTAGATGGTCTCCCCGCCAGTTCCCTGGACATCGAGCTCAGGACCGAGGCTGCCGGGGCCCCAGTCGGCCTCGACCCTAGACATCCAGTTTTCTGGGAGCAGGCGGAGTCCGAGATCACGGGAGAGCTTCAGGAGGCTTCGGGAGCTGCGAGTTCGACCTGGTGTTTCGCGGACCGCTTCGCGGACTTCGAACAGGACACATTTGTTTCGCCTACAGTTCCGAGGAGGGTCCGTCAGCAGGCTTTGCAGGTCCTGGAAGGGGCGGGGATTAGGAAGGTTAAGAGACGTGCCCGAAAGGACATCCAGAAAGCCCTGCAGGATTTGGGGGCTACGATATGTCTCGAGCTCTTCTCCGCTCCGAGAGTGGAGCCCGAGCTCAGGCGTCTGGGTTTCCCTACTTCCCCCTCCCTCGATCTTAGAACGGGGTGGGATCTTCGCAAGGCTGAGGACCGAAGACGTCTCTGGAAGCTTCTGGACACTGAGAACCCTCTCACGATCCTGATGTCCCCCCCCTGCACGGTGTTCAGTATTTCCAGGACGACGGCGGACCAGATGGATCCGGCCAAGAGAGCCCGGGCAGAGCAAGAGGCTCTCCTTTTTATTTCTATCTGTGCTCAGGTCGCGTCGTACCAGCATCAGAAGAGGCGTTTCTTTCTGCTCGAGCATCCTTTGACTGCCAGCAGCTGGCAGTTGGTGAGTATCCGGAAGCTCGCGGCTCTTGAGGGGGTTCGTTACGTGGACATGGATCAGTGTGCTTTCGGGCTTTCGGTGTCACCAGGGACCGTTTCCAAGAAACCCACTAGGCTGTTGTCTAACAGTCACGATCTCCTGCGCATCTGCTCTCGCAAGTGCCCCGGAGATCATGAGCACCTGCACTTGGTGGGAGGGGCCAGGACGAGGGCGTCGCAGCAGTACCCCCGTGACCTCGTGGCCGCGCTCTGCCAGGGGGTGGAGCTGACCGCCGCGCGCGCTCTCTTTTGCCAGTCGCCAGAGGACGATCCGTCCTATCCTGCCAGAATGTCTGAGGAGGGAGTTCAGCAGGTTGACTCAGACACCGACGAGGAAGAGGATTCCTCACCCTCCCCTCCAGGCCCCGAGGATCCGCCTCCAGGGGACGATCCTGGGCCCAGGGTTCCGCCGGGGACGGGGGTTCTTTCCGAGCCGAGACTCGACCGAGAGACTCAAAATGAAGTGCATAAATTGCACGCCAATCTGGGTCATCCCAGGCATGAAGAGTTTGTCCGGCCCCTTAAAGTTGCTAAGATAAGAGACGACATCGTCAGGTGGGTGGCAAAGTCTTTTCGATGTCCCCAGTGCGATGGGGAGGCCCGTCCGCACTGGAGACGTCGAGCCCAGCTTCCTCGGACGTTTCGTTTCAACGAGCTTGTGGCGGTGGATCTCTTTTACATCCAGGCCTTCGGAGAGAATATCCCGGTGCTGAATGTGATAGATCACGGGTCCAACCATCAATGCTGCACGGTCTTGAAAAATGCTACGGCTCAACAGGTGTGGTCGGGCTTCGTTCGGGCCTGGGTGCGGCCAACGGGGGTGCCAGAGATACTTATGTCCGACGGGGGTCCCGAATTTGAGGCCATCTTCCAGCGTGCTCTCGAGAACTTAGGGGTGTATCATCATGTCTGTGATGCCGAGAGTCCACACCAAAACGGAAGGTGTGAGAGGCACGGGGGGCTTGTCAAGACTTAGGCGATCCATTCTCCATTCATCATTGTGGACCTCTGTTCCAGCCAATCCGCACCGCTGTTTTCTTGTTGTTTTTAATGTGATTTTTAGGCTACCCAATTTTCCTTTAGAACTATTATTATTTTTATATATACCTATAGATTTCCACTTGGCATCTGTGTTTTTCAATTGAAATTTTCTCAATATCTCATACGCAATAATTCACAATTGATTTAAAGATTATTTCATTGGTTCTGGGCAAATTCAAAACGCCCTGGTAGTGTTTTCGTCCCAAAACCTCCTCGATTGATCAGGCCTCAAAAAACAGCTATGAAAACACAGAAAAAAACACATAAAAAACATTTTTTTTTTTTTTTTAAAAAAAAAAAAAAAAAAAACAAAAAAAAAAAAAAAAAAAAAAAAAAAAAAAAAAAAAAAAAAAAAAAAAAAAAAAAAAAAAAAAAAAAAAAAAAAAAAAAAAAAAAAAAAAAAAAAAAAAAAAAAAAAAAAAAAAAAAAAAAAAACGGAGGAAACGGACGGCGGCAGTATCGCTGTTCAAAATTGCAATAACGCAACGGCAGCGCGGCAACGCGCAATAATAATACCACAACATGTGTAACATATGTGCGTAATATATTCATATATAACAAACAATGAATAACAATAACAAACACAAAACACAAGACCAACATCACATCACGACGACAGCAACACAACACAACACACGCACAAACAACCACGAACACTCACAATCACACACACACAGACACACACACACACACGCACGCACGCACGCGCGCGCGCTCTGCTTGCGCGCTCGCCCCCTGCTCTGCTGGGGCTCTGCCGACCCACCTCGCCCCCTGCTCTGCCAGGGCTCTGCCGACACGCCGCGCCGCTTTCTTTCTCATGTGGCGCGGCGGCCTCGCGCGGCGCTCCTGCTGCGCGACGCGGCGAATGCCAGAATGGCTAGGGAGGGGAGGGGGTCACCCACGGCGCCTCGACCCCCAAGCCCCAGACCCCCAATACCCCCAACAGATGTTCCTTGCGCCGCGGTTGAACCCGTCCCCTCCAGCCCATTCGCGGCAATCGCCAGGCCCTGCGGCCGCGCCGCCATGCGCTCCCCGGCCGCGACGAGCTGGGGGCGGCAGCCAGCAGGAGGGCGGGAGGGCGAGGGCCATAGGCCACCATAGGTGGGAGGTGAGGAGTGGACAGGATTCCATACAGGGAGCAAGAGTAGGAAAGTAGGAGAAGGGAGTGCGACAAGAACTAAGATGTGAGTCTGAGTAGGACCGAGTAGGAGTCCTACAGTAGGAGCTACAGTAGGAGGGCGAAGCCAGGAAAGAGAGGGGAGAGACTGCTGAGCCGCTCAGCCCACCGCGCGGCGCCAGCGGCGCGCCGCGAACTGAGGCAGTGCGTTCCGTCCTTGGCCCATCTTCCCCCCCCCCTCTCTCCTCCCTCCCCCCGCCCCCCTCCCTCGCAGCGGGCGACGGTACTGGTCGCAACCAGGGTCTAAGAGTCCAAGAGGGATGAGGATGGGTCCAGGATGAGGATGAGATGAGGGAAGGAGGAGGACGGCAGGGGGGCAAGGAGCGAAGAGCGAAGAGCGAGAGGGGAGGCAGAGTTGGGAAAGAGCAAACAAAGGTGAGGAAATCCTCACTTCGCCACGCGTTCAAAATGGCGGGCGGGCAGAACGCCGAGCACCCAAAGCACTGGACTCCACGTCCGTCCAGTTGTCTCGCTCTGCTGCCCCTGCCCGCCGCCTGCTGGCCGCGGCCTGGGCCGGGCCGCTCTGCCCTGGCGCCCTGGCCACAGGCCGCCTCCAGCCCTGAGAGAGCTTCCTCTGGTGGAGTCCTCCTCTCCTCTCCTCCTCTTGACTGTTCTTGACTCTTGGCTCCTCTTCCTCTTCCCTATCCCCTCTTCCTCATCCGATCCTCATCCTCCATCCTCCGCCTGATCCTTCCCTGATCCCCTGGACTCCTGACTCCTCCCTGGACCCTGGACTCATCCTGACTGACTCATCACTCATCCTCTTCCTCCCTGGACCCTGGACTCATCCTAGACTCCTCTCACTCCTGTTCGCTCTACTCAGGCCGCCGGGGCCTCCTGCTCGCCCGTCTTCTTAACCTCGTCCAGCCCCTGCTTCAACGCTTTGGGCAGGGTGACGGACAAGGCGCTGCACTCCGTGAAGAAGGCTTCCACCTCCAGGAGCGGCAGAGGGGCCAGGGAGGGAGGTAGGGACGGCGAGGGCGAGCAAGGGAGTGACAGAGCACAGCGAGGGAGCGAGGGAGACTGTGAGGGAGCGATGGAAAATGGGAATGAAGGAGCGCGGTAGTCAGGAGGCGAAGGGGGCCAGGAGGAATACTGGAATACTCAGGGAGATCAAGGAAATGGGGAGGGAGGGGCGATGGATGGAAGGGGCAGTGGAAGGAGAGGAGGGGGGGGATTCAGGGGACAGAGAGAGAGAGAGAGAGAAGGGGGGGAAAAAAACACGAGACAGGGAGAGGGGGAGAGGAAGGGAGGGTAGGGAAAGAGGCGATGGCCAGGGCGGGAGGGATGGGGAGGGTGAAAGGGCGACGCTGGAGGGGGCGCGGCACGCCGCGAGCCGCCTCCGTCGTCTTCTTCTTCGTGTAGATCACGAGCCCCGTCCTGATGGTAACGATCCTCATGGGGCGGCAGAAGAGAGGGAAGAGGGAGGGGGGGGGGAGGAGGAGGAGGAGGAGGGGGGAGGCCGCCTGGAGGAGGGAAGAGTAGAAGGGGGAGAACGGAAAAAGAAATCAGGGAGTCGAGGAAGAGGGGGGGACGGAGGAGGAGGCCCGCCAGGAGGCCCCCCCACAAGCCGCGTCACAAGCCCAAGGAGGCAATGGCCCCTGGACTTCTCACAGGGCGCGTTCTGACCAGGATGGAGGTCGGCCGTGGCGATGCGAGGTCCAGAGCGGCAATGGATCTCTGTTGGGGCGCACTCTGACCAGGACGTCGAGGGGGGCCGGCCGTGGCAACGAGGATCCACACCCCCTCAGCCAGGGACCTCGACCCTCGAAACGAACCTCGGCCCTGGACCTGGACGCTTCTGGTTTCAGGGCCTAGCCTAAACCTCTGGCTGGCCTCCAGAGGCTTTTCAAGACGATTGGAGTTGGAATTTTGGGAGGGCCTCTTCCTCTTCCTCCTCCTCCTCCTCCTCCTCCTCCTCCTCCTCCTCCTCCCCCTCCTCCTGTCTCTCTCAAAACTTTCTCCTAGTCTTAGTCCCTAGAAGGCCCTCCAGCCGCCAGAGTAGCCCCCCCCCTCCCTCACCCCCCCCTCGCCGTCCTGGCCCCCCCTCCTCCCACCTCTCACTAGCCTGGGCCCCTGCCCCTGGAGGTCCAACAACCTGCAGCCTCGACCTCGACCTGGCATTCGGATATGAGGCCTGCGCCGCCGGCTCTCTCCTCCTCTCTCCTGTGCGTCCTCCTCCTCCGCCTTCTCGCCCCTCCCTTTCTCCCCCTCCTCCTCCTACTCCCTACTCCTTCCTCCTCATCCTCCTGCCAGCCACCAGTCCCACCCGCTGCAATCGTTCTGAATCCTGCGCGCTCTGTTCCTCGCCGTCACCGCGTCGCTGTTCGTCTTCTCCAAGTCCTTGACGTCCACGATGCCCATGGCCTGGGTGCTCAACTCGCGCCACTGGCCGATATCAGCGTTGAGCTTCTTGATTGCCTGGATCACCGTGGACCTCTCAAAACGTTGCGTCGTCGTCGTCGTCGTCGCGGTCGAGTCGTGATCGTCGTGGTAGTCGGACGGTCGTGGTCGTGATCGTCGCGGTCGTCGTGGTTGTCGGACGGTCGTGGTCGTGCGTGACCGTCGCGGTCGTCGCCGTGGTCGTCGTCGTCGTCGCATGCGCAGACCTCTCCGGCATGTCGATGATCCCCTTGATAAGTTCGATGTTGCTGAGCCCGTCCTTCTGCAGGAACTTGAGGTCGATGTCCTTGGTCTTCTCGGTCAGCGTCGTCGTCGTCTCGGCCATGCGGCTCGTGACGGCCGTCAGCTGCAACATCAGCTTCTCGCGGCCCTTCTCCGCCCACGTCGCAAGGTGGCCCGTGATGCCGCTCACGCATTCCAGCGCGGTCGAGCGCCTCAGGAGCGACTTGATTTTCCCATGGTGCTTCAGTGCGTCGCTGTACTCCTGTAGGGGGCCCGATCCCTCCGCCCGCCCCCCATCGCCACCTCCAGCGACACCCTGGGGGGCCCAGAGACCCAGGGCAGAGGGGGTGTCTGAAAAGTCCCCCAGAGAAGCAATGCAGTTCACCA